AGGTATCTCTATATTGCTTTCCACCGAGGTTGCACTAGTTTGCAGTCCCACCAGCAATGTATGAGTGTTCCTATCTCTCCACATCCATGCCAGCATTTATTGTTTTGGGACTTTTTGATAAAGGCCATTCTCACTGGAGATAAGTGATATCTCAGTGTGGTTTTGATTTGCATCTCCCTGATGATTAGAGATGTTGAAGCATTTTTTTCATTTGTTTCTGGGCCATTATTCTGTCTTCTTTTGAAAAGTTTCTGTTCATGACTGACTAGATTTTTAAGGGAGGCACCGGAGGACTGCTTTCAATGCCAGGCTGTTTCTAGGATGCATTTACAAAAAGGATTTTAAAGCAAGTGCTCAACAGCTGCTTCTTGCACCAGTCTTTTCCAACACCATTCCCTTATCATGTGAGCTAAGGAGATGCTGACTAGGATGTGGATTATGCCTGTGTGTTTCAGAACATGGCGGCATGGTCCATTCCTGTTCTCCAATATCATCTGTTAACTAGGATCTAAGCAGAAGCCAGCACCGCCTACAACAGGGAGTCTTATGAAGTGCCCAACATTATGTCCTTCGTCTTCTAGCCGAGCTCCTGGTCTCTAGGTCTCCTTGTTATTTCAGACCCAAAAGTTGACACTTACCTGTAAAGGACTCCTCTTTTACTAATGAAAAAATATCACCCTGCACAACTCAACAGCTTCCTTTCCATCTCCAAGGGCCTGATAACTGGTCAGTTTTGCTGTATCTGAGTCTAGAATAATCCAGATCAGCTGAAGACAAGAAAGAACACAGGCTTCAAGTCAAACTCTAATCTTGTTAATTAACTGTGTGTCACCTCAGGTTACTCTGAGGGGCTTATTTGAGCCTCAGTTTCCTCATCTACCTACCTCACCTGGCTTCCTTGAGGATTAAAAGCAATAGCATATATAATATAGCTCAGCACTGGGTCTAACAGAGAAGTCACTCAAGGAAATTTCCTTTTCCTTTAAGCACATTAACCATTGCAGAAATATTCAACCCCATCTTAAATGTCCAATAAAAGATTGCTGTTTAAATAAATCATTGCACACCACAGGATGGATTACAATGCAGCCACTAGTACCAGCTAGGCCATCTTTTCCACGTGCATGGACACGTGTATGCAGAACTACAGGACTTCAAGTGAAAGCCCATTCAAGCATCTGGATAGCTGTAACCTGTGGCAGGCTCCCAGGCGGTCCACCTCGGCCCTTCATTGACACAAGAACACAAGGCAGGCTTTTGGCTTGCACAACACTCATCTTTGTCATCTTCAGGGATCACACCTCACATGTTCGGACTTAGATCTTTTTTCAACCGAGAATGAAGAATTACTACCCTTGAGATACTGGTTACCACCTAATACTGATAATCTTCCACACAGCTCTTTCAAGAAAATAGAGACTTAAGCCTAAGGAGTGAAACCCTAAGAATTCTGGAAGAAAATGTTGGGAAGACTATTTTAGACATCAGCCTAGGCAAAGAATTTATGAAGAAGACCCCCCACCCAAAGCAATTACAGCAGCAACAAAAATAAACAAATGGGACCTGATCAAATTAAAAAGCTTCTGCACAGCCAAGGAAATTATCATTGGAGTGAACAGACAATCTACAGAATGGGAGAAATTATTTGCTTTCTACATATCCGATAAAGGGCCGATAACAAGAATCTATATAAAACTTAAGAAAAAATCAACAAGAAAAAATCAAACGACCCCATCAATAGATGGGCAAAGGACATGAACAGAAACTTCTCAAAAGAAGACAGAATAATGGCCAGCAAACATATAAAAAGTGCTCAGCACCTCTAATCATTAGGGAAATGCAAATCAAAACCACAATGAGATATCACCTAACTCCAATGAGAACGGCCTTTATGAGAAAGTCCTAAAACAAATGCCGGCGTGGATGCGGAGAGATAGGAACACTCCTACACTGCTGGTGAGACTGCAATTAGTACAAGCCCTGTGGGAAGTAATTTGGAGATACTTCAAAGAGCTAAAAACAGAAATACCATTTGATCCAGTGCCCCCACTACTAGGCATCTATCCAAAGGAAAAAAGACACTGTATAATAAAGACATCTGCACTTAAATGTTTATAGCAGGACAATTCATAATTGCAAAGATGTGGAAACAACCCAAATGCCCATCAATACATGAGTGGATTAATAAAATGTGGTATACGTATACCCTGGAATACTACTCAACTACAAAAACAATGGTGAACTAGTACCTCTTATATTATCCTGGATAGCGATTGAGCCCATCCTTTGAAGTGAAGTATCACAAGAACGGAAAAACAAGCACCACGTGTACTCGCCATCAAATTGGTACTAACTGATCAACACTAAGGTGCTCACATGGTAGTAATGCTCATGGGGTGCCGGTCAGGTGTGGCGGCGGTGGGGGGTAAACCCACAGATGGAAGCACAGCGCACTGTGTGGGGGAAGGGCACACTTGTAACCCTGATTTGGATGAGGCAAATGCATTACATGTAACCAAATGTGTGTACCCCATCATATCCTGAATTAAAAAATAAATAAAAAATAAATTAAAAAATCTTTAAAAAAGTGGAAAGCTTAAGTGATAATTACATGTTTCTAAAGATTCTTCCCACATCATCCCCGCATCAACTGATCAGATCACTAGACCATTCTACTATAGCTCCCCGCCTCCCTGTAGATTTAAGAGGTTCATCCTCTTAACATCATGCCCTCTGTTTTTTGTGTGGGTTGACAAACTAACTGTGTCAAACTTTTTGGTAAAGTGTCTACCAATGTCAAGTTCATCTTCCATTATGTCTTTTGACAATTTTTACTTAATAAGCTTATTGGATGGTTCTTTCAAGCTTAAAAAAAAAAAGCCTCCTGACCTTCACACATTTACCTGGGGACAGGACACAGTTAAGAGCAGGCCAAAGGCCCTCAAAGTCCACTAGTCTTACAAAGGACCAAGTTAACTGCAAATTAAGCTGTGTGCTTTTTTTTGTTGTTAGAACAAGAGCAATACAATTACCAAGTTTTGGTCTTGTTTTGGATGCCAAGAGACTTCATGGCAAGTTTGGGTTCAAATGCAGATTTCCTCAACACTGGGTCTCATTCTCCCTTCCCTGACACCTGTCTCCTGTTTCCTAGCTTGAGTTTTTGTTGCTTCAGAATAGCTTACCTCTATGGTAAGTACATCCACATGTACTTCTGTATCCTGCTTCCCAGCTATACTCTGTGAGGTAATTATTAGGTATTAGGGCCCATAAGAATCACAATTCACATGCTGGTGCTAAAATCTGTGACATGAAGCTAAAATCAGTATCTACCAAAACTACCTAGCTCTTACAAACACGATTATGCCAAGTTGTTCACGCAAATGTGAGGGTGTTATTGCAAATATTTTGAAAACTGAATCCCAGACAAAGCAAGAGTGTAAAGTAGAAACATATTTTCCCAAGAAGGAAAGGAAAGGGCAAAGTGAATCAAGAATGATTTTCAGAAAAACAACACAAGTCCCCTAACTGCTCATTTGCCATTTTTTCTATATTCCTGCCACGCAAATTTGGAGATTGTACTAACTTTCTTAACTGGGCCTTACCCGTAATCGATAATCATCTACAGTCCAGATTCTGCTTGCAAAATCATTTGAAGCTGCTAAGAGGTAAGATCCCTGCAGGAATAAAGGAGAGGAAAAACAAATTTTAGATAAAATAGAGGAATTCAGTTCACACAATACAAACTCCCTAATAATCAAGTCCAAGATTGAGAAGCCTTGAACCACACCCCAATGTGAATATCAGCTACTGTCAGCAGTGTGCTGTCCATCTCCTGAGTTGGGACCTTTCTCATGAGCTCGCTTGATTTTCACCTGAATGTAGTAGACACTTCAAGCTCAAAATGGAACTCAGCTCATTTTCCCCTTGCAACCTTCACCAGCAGCAAATACTAATTCTCTACATACTGCCCGAGCCGGAAATGTACCCCAGAGGCACCCCTGAGTCTTCCCTTGCCTCACCTCCCCACTATCACGCTCAGACCTATTCATCTTCAGTGTATCCAGCTAGTAGACCTTCTCCTCTCCAACCCTTCTGCCTCAGCTGCAACCTGGGCCTCGAGCAGGTCTGCAGAAGCACAGAATGCTCGCGTCACTGCAGGCCTTCTCCCTCAATCCAGTCATCAACACTGTCACAGTGACCCCAGAATTTAATGCTGTACCCATTTACAAACCTCTCGAGGCTCCACACAGCTTTACAGAAGCTCAAACCCTACAACACAACATACACTCTGACCCACACCTAACTTTTTAACAATCTTATTTCCTTATCATTCCTCAATTAAATTCAATCACTCCCCAATTAAATTCAAGGAGTAGTTACTACGAATGTAATAGTCCAGGCACTGTGCTGGGTGTTGGGGGTACAAAGATGACTAACATCCAGATATTCTTCCTCAGGGAGTTAGTTCTCAGTTTAGCAAAAGCAGCATATGTAGACAGCCACCATTCCAATAGGTTTGCACAAGACTCAACAGGAAAACAGAAGGACCCTCAGTCCAACCAGGAAGGTGAAAAAGGCTCCCCAGAGAAGACAATGAAGAGAAGGACTCTTGAGAGATCACGAAGCTATCCTTGCCACCCCAGCTACCACACCAGTCTGCCCAGGCTCTCCTCTTTGCCTCCCCTGCCTGTGATGTCCACTCTTACATTTTTGCACCTGACACTTGATGACCTTGAGGACTGCCCTGAATGTCCTATTGTGTTCCCTAACCCTGATCCCAGAACCAACTGCTCCCTCATCAGTGTTTCCATCCTACTCCATACACATCTCCACCATAACCTTAGCACAATGATTTGCAGTTAAATGCTTTCACGTCACTCTCACTTAAATGGCAAATCTGAGAGGACGGAACAAACTGGCCCCTGGAGTACAGCATCTAAACACTCAAAATACAGCTATTAAGTAGAATTTTACAGAGCACTGAGTAACATCACAAAGCCTAATGCATAAACCAAAACCCAAGGTACCAATTAATTCTATACTCTACTCCCATCTCTCTCTAACATAGATTTGACTTAAGATACAGAGAATGGCAGAGAAACCAGATAAGTTACTTTTCAATTTCTAAGAACCAGATATCTTAAATTGTTCTCCAAAACCTCTAAAATCATAGATGTTAGATACTTACAGCACTATCAAACTCAATGCTTGTAATTCCTGCATTACTGCCAGATAGGGAGCCCTTGAATTCACATTTGTCTGTATAAAAAGAAAAAATTGAGGAAAGTCAGAAAGTTAAACACAGCCAGTAAGTAAGCTAAAGTAGGCCACTGAAACACAACGAAGCCAACGACAGTGCTGGAACTGCAGTTTTCCCACACCTTTACAGAATCAAACAGCGGGACAAACGGAAGGTAAGCGACAAAATACACAGTTCGTTTCTAAGAGCAATGAATGTTTAAGTGGATGCCGACCCATTATTTTGCTAAAGAGATTTAGAATTATTAATGCCCTTTACACAGAGAAAGTGTAGGAATTTATAAAACATGTCAAACTAGAGATTGAGTTTAGTTGTTATTTCTCAGTAATTTTTCTAATTTACATAAACAAATCTTTGGGTTTGATCAGTATTTGTGCCAACTTTATCACTTCTATAGAAACTGACCATCAAGATTTCAGAATCCATGTTGTGATAATTTTTAATAAGGTTTGAGAAGGAACTTTTTCAGTCATGTTTAAGTGACTAGGCAGTAGAATGCCAATAATGCTAGTCTGGTGTTTCTGAATTTTTCCTTATACTTTTATCTCCATGAATGTAAGATTGTGGCACGCCAACTAAGAGCCAGTGCCCCTGCCCCACTGCCTGGCTCTCCCTCCCCAACAGGGACAATGCACATACCCCGCTGCCATGCTTTCAGACAGCTTGGCCACCCACACAGAGACTTTAACAACACAATCACGAACTACGAAGGACAAAATTCTCGATGATTTAAGTTCCTTATAAAAGGGTAGCTGAAGGACAATCTATGTTTGACAAGCTAGGAATTAGGAAATCATACTGAATTCATAAAAGATAGAAATAAGAAACATTTTAACATACAATATCTTTTTTTTTTTTTTTTTTTTAAGAGGCAGAGTCTCACTCTGTCGCCCTGAGTAGAGTGCTGTGGGGTCAGCCCAGCTCACAGCAACCTCTAACTCCTGGGCTCAAGCGATCCTCTGCCTCAGCCTCTCAAGTAGCTGGGACTACAGGCGTGCATCACAACGCCCGGCTAATTTTTCTATTTTTAGTAGAAACGGGGTCTCGCTCTTGCTCATCAGGCTGGTCTGGAACTCCTGACCTCAAGTGATCCTTCTGCCTTGGCCTCCCAGAGTGCTAGGATTACAGGTGTGAGCCACCTCGCCCAGCCAACATATAATATCTTTATCTTACTCAGTACTCCTAAACAGTAGTAACAATGATTAAGACAGGATACCAGGAAGACAGGAACACTGGCTTGAAGCTGTCGTATATATTCAGGGCATAGATTTTTAAGCTGGGTCATGAACCCCTCCCTAGAATCTATTCACAAAATATAGCATATTTAATGCCATTTCCTGGGTCCTAGCTTTCATCAGATTAGTATGTTACTTGAGAAAAAGTTGAAAAGGGTTAATATAAACTAAAGTGTCACTTTATTTAGATGAGATCTTTACAGACAAATATATTACTGCAAATTCTAAGAAATCTCTCCATGGTTTATGCTCAAAATATTGTTCTATTTGCATGGCACCTAACACAGTGCCAAAATGTAAGGAATGACCCACAAATGCTGCTCTATTCAAGAGATCCAACTCAAAAGAACACACACTTTACTAAAGTTCTTTTATCTACAAGGTTCCAGGGTAGGCTATGTTAACAGCATTTATAAAATTAATGCCCAATGGACTGTCTGCTTTTGAGAAAAGAATAGATGTTCCTATTGGATGGAAAGTGCCATTCTTCTGATATTTTAAAAGGGTAAAAAATAGGACCCCCAAACTATTTCATAAAAGGCCTCTTTGGACTTGGCCTCTTACAAGATGCAGTCAACATTAGCCAGGAGGAAAAACCTGCAGAATTAAAAAGCTATGGAAAAAAGATCCTATAAAAACTACGAGAAATGCTGCCGAGCATCTACGTTACTTCTGTAGACTCAGCAGAAACTTTTATTAACACAAATTATACTCTGGCACAAATTATATCAGTATTAATTTTGATTACTGTTTATTTCCTTTTCACCAGCAAAAAGGTAACACTGATACTGGCACCTCTAATTTTCTTATAGGTGTGTTTTTACTGACCAAGGAGTAAAACAAAAATATTTCTAATGTTGATTGGGCTCAGTGGCCACATCTGTAATGCTAGCCCTTTGGGAGGCTGAGGCAGGAGGACTGCTTCCAGCCAGGAGTTTAAGACCAGCCTGGGCAACATAGTGAGACCCTGTCTCTGCAAAAAGAAAGAAAAATTAGCTAGGCATTGTGACTTTTGCCTGCAGTCCCAGCTACTTGGGAGGCTGAGGCAGGAGGATCGCTTGAGCCCAGGAGATTGACGTTACAATGAGCTATGACGATGCCACTGCACTCCAGGCTGGGCAACAGAGTAAGACCTTGTCTCAAAAAAATAAATTCTAATGTTATCCCTATTTAATTTCAACGATATAATCAAAACAGACTATTTGCTCAGATTTTATAAACCAAATCCCCTAAAATTTCTTTTCTTTTGTCATGTTTTTATTATTGTTTTATAATAGCTTCAGCAATTATCATTCCATAAGCTAACACGGTATTTCTGGGCAAAACAGCAAATCTGCATGGGCTTCAACTGGCTCTAACTGCCTGGGATTTAACTACTGAGTCCTTTTCCTGAAAATCAAAGGCCAGGATAGACAAGTAGGGTGCTTTACTAATAACCTATTCCAACCAAAAGGATTAATAGATTGCTCTTGCTCTAATGAACCTCACAAATAGTAGCCTATATGATTTCTTAGTTGCTCTTTTGCCTAGAGAAGAGCTTCAGTGGGCAGAAGGGCATGGGATCTGAAGTCTTAAGACCTGGATTAATCCTACCCCCAACACTCACTTGCCATGCGAATCACTGATAGCCATGTCAATCAACTATGCAGTTCATGTAGTGTCTGAGTTTTATTTTCTTCATTTGTCAAACAGGGTGACAGTTACCCTTCCAACTGCACAGGGCTTTTGTGAGGATCAGAGGAAGTGATAAAAACAAAGGCATTTTGCAGTTATTTGATAATGTGCTGCAACTATGGAAACCTAACAAAGTACCTTTAGAATTGTTCTTTGACCTTAGTTTAGTAAAAATACATGCATATTTAACTGAATCTCAAAAATGCCAGAACTGGGCTATGCCCAGCTTCAGAATCCTAAGAAATGATTTCATTAACTCCCCCTTTCTGTTTTAATGCTATCCCATTTCTGAGCATCCTGAGGTCCAAAGAGACTGAGTCCTAATCTAAGGGCTCTTGTCTGATAAGTTGATTGTTAAATAGATTTTTTTCCTGGTAATATACCTCTTTTCTCAAGCTTAGATATGACTTTGGTCATTTTTTTTTCTAGGCTATTGCCACTGTCATCATTAAATGCATCAGCCACAGCTTGATGTATAGTTTAATTATGGAGTTCACGATTGATTGTAAGATTTTTTTTCCTCCTAAAACTGGTACTATTTTTCAAGATGTTGATTAGCACATATTTGAGAAAAATTACAGATCCTTTACTAACATAAACATATCCATATCTTAACAGTATTTTCTAGTCACTATTTGGAACACCAGAGCTAGCACCCACTCAGATATAAAAAGTAACTGAAATAATACTACTACTTTGGTCAGATGATTCTTACAGAAAATGCTATATGTTTTAAGAAGATGAACAAAGAGTGCCTGAAAGCAAGGTCAACCAGATGCTGTCAGCAGAGGTTCTTTCTGTACACTCCAGCGGGCTCTCACCTCCAAACACTTCCCAAAGCTTAACCCTCCGGTCCATGCCTCCTGTGGCCAGTAACCGAGAACCGGGACTGAACTGCACAGCGTTGACTTCCCCATCATGTGCATCCTGCAAGACAAGCACCCTGTTTCAAACCCAATCATTATCATCCCCAGAGCCTGAAGCAAAAACACACTCCCAATGTCTAACAAGGGGAAAATGCTCATCTTTAAACAGTGGTGGATTCAATCATAAACTAAACTGGACGCCTAGCTCAGGGTGTCCTAAAATTCTATTATCAATTTATTTGTATGGTTATAGTTGCGCTTCTTTAAATACAGCGCAACCTTTTCAAAAATCTGTGTAGACTGTCTAAAGCTTGTTTATGCATGAATTTTACTTCTTCCAAGAATAATGACCCATATCAATCTTAATAGTTTAGAAGCCTAGAATTAACTGCCTCTTTTAGTCCAGACTACTTATTACATTTACTACTAATTACTAATTTACTGTTAATTAATATTAAATATTATATACCTAAATAATGTCCAGTGCCCAACTCTCTGGGCTCTTTTCTTTGTGCTCTCCCCATCCCCGGTGCTTTGAAAGCCCTAAGCCAGGTACTGGATAAAAGTTTCCTCGGGATGTTTCGATTTCTGCTCAGTTATTCTAGCCGGGATGCAGATTAACGGTTAGTACTAGAACCCAGCTCTTAACTCCAGGTGACAGGCTTGGTATCACAGTGGCTTCTGCCCAGGACTGTGTCCTGTTTCTAATCATAGGCTCCTATAGTTAGAAGTCAGACAGGAGTGTAATTCATGAAACTGCTGCCTCCCTACTGGTAACAACTGCACAAATTATGCTGCTACTTCTCATCATCCCTAATTAGTTCTCCCTTGCCCCATCCTTTATGCTACCAATCCTCTCTCAGACAGTCCTGTGTCACAGAGGATGGCTGTAATAAATTCTGTCCTCTCAAGCTAAGCAAAATATATCAGTTCCTCACAGCCATACAGCCAACAGGTGTGAAAGTTTGATATAAATAAAACAATGGAAAGCTCAGCTGCAGCCATAGAAAGAATCCTCCAGGCTCTGTTACCAGACCAAGTTCAGTGGGCTTTGTGGCTGATGCATACTTACAAAGACACACAGTGCAGTAGTTGGCACCCTCACTTCTTTACCAGAACCAGGATGAGTATCCACATTATCCTGGGGGACTGGGAAGGAAGAGACAGATCGTCTCCTAAGAAATAACAAAGACAAATATTAGACAGGATTGCAGAGGTTTGTTGTTCACCAAATGTCAAAAACAACTCAAAGATGACCTTGCTTAAGCAGACTGCCTGTCAATAGTTTTTGTTCCATGTAGACTCTTCAAACTACAGAGCTCTTCACAAAAAATCAGAAGCGTCCTCACTCAACGAGAAAGAGAGCCAGCACATACCTTACTCTCCTGCTTGCTAACTCAGACTCCAAAACTCAACACTGGAAAGCAATCCTGAACAACCGCTTACCCAGTCAATAAACTGCTAGGAAATGTTCTCAACTTAACGTAACAGCTTAGCTTCGAGGTAGCTCTTTGGTATTTCTGCAAAACTATTTTAAGATGATTTCTATGTCTAGTTACAATGATCCTCAGCATACACTTGTGGCCAATGCGGAGTCGAACGCATGCCAAAAGAAAGAGCAACAAGAGCATGAGTACGGTACAAAGATTTCAACCTGACAGCCCTGCGAAGAGGGCTGCCAGCATTCCTAGGAACATGCAAAGCATCCTGGTTAGCATGTGTACATCTGATGATTGAGGGTAGTAAAGCGTGATCAGCATAATTACCAATGACCCACACTCACATGCTGGGCTAAGAGAGAGATAATATTTTCACCTGGCAGCATCAGAAGAAGAATGATGTCCCAAAAGGGGAGACTCGGACAGACTAAAGGGAAAGGCCAGAGATCAGCACGCAGTGAGATTGAGAGAAAGGAAGTTGAGGAAAAAAAGGAAGAAGCTAAATGAAAAGCTGAAATTAAGGCATCTGTATACTCTGCACCACTGAAATTCTGGTGTACATTTAAAAATAATAAATCGTGTACATATACTTAGGTATATTTACATACATTTTAAAAAGGAAAGGTGAAGGTCTTCTAACCTACCCAAAGATATTAGTGATAGAATCCAGAAGGCCTCCAGCAGGCTGCGAGAGTCGCTTACTAAAGAGGAGGGGAGGATAGGTTTAAACCTTAGAAACATTTTGCCCAAATAAACAATCAATAAAAACAGTCCATAAAAACAGGTACCTGGGGGTATGTTTCCCATTTAGTTCCCAAACCCCAGGCAAGAGAAACCCAACACAATACTGAACCACCAGAAAATAGTGGGAAGGTAGAAGGGAAAACCCAGCCTAAAAGTT